TTGGAAGACAAATTACGGTTAGGTCCGCTTGTGGAAAGATAGGAAATGAAAGAAAAGTATTCTTGTCTTTATGCTATATATTTCAGAATATTTCGTAGTTATATATAAATGTATGTCTTTGTCTATATATAAATTTATCTCGCCCTGGTAAGGAGTGTATTTACGAAGCATCAAGTGAGAGGATGTCATTTGAACTCTCATCTATCTATCTATCTATCTATCTATCTATCTATCTATCTATCTATCTATCTTAAACTTCTTTCTTTTTTTATCTTTCTCATGCTATCAGAGTTTATTACTATCCCTCTCTTTCTATTTCAGACTCTTTCTTTCTTATCTCGAACTATACTTTACCCTCTCTAACTTTTTACCTGTGGTGTACATTCCCTCCAACAGATACCGAAAATGAGTAAGAGTTGTAATGGAATCACATACCTTCAATGCAGGGGTACTTCGATGTGGTGTAATGGTTAACAAGCTTTTTTCGCTCGATCAATTACGATTGAATAGTGTGTTCGATCCTCACTGGATGTCCCATACTTTCGGCCTTGTGCAGAACATGCTTTCATCACTTAACACTACAGTGCTAAGTTGATTCGATCTCAGAAGTTATCCTCCATTGGGGTTGTGCATGGCAATGTTATCGCGTAAGTAGATGTCTAGAGACACGCCAGCCGTAGATATGCTGCCAGTAAACAATACCCAGCGGTTTGTGTTGACGTTTTGGATTGATCGATGCTGAAGGACTCTTCCTGCATTAACTGATGTGGAGACATTTTTGTTCCGCATTTTGAGAATCGATGTTTTTTTTTTGAATGTTTTAAAGACAAATTCTTTTTTATTTAATGCATGAGTGTTAGTAAAAAAGACAACCCAAAATGCAAATTACAATTTGGAGGTACCAAAATGAAACCAGTAGAAAAATTTAACTATCTGGGAAGTGTTTTAACAGAGGACGGAAAGTGCGACATTGAAATCCGAAGGCGCACTGAGATACTAAAAGATGCTTTCCAAAAGCTAAGCAGAGTAATAAGTATTAAGAAACAGAAAAAAAAATCCTCAGAAACGAAGCAAAGACTACCAAACTGTTATGTAATATCAATCCTCCTATATGTCGGTGAATGCTGAACAAACTCCTCACAAATGAAGAAGCAACAGCAATGTTGTTCTACAGAAGGATGCTGAGAATACCATGCAACCGACTATGTGTTAGAGAAAGTGTTAGAGAATATGGAAACAAAAAAAAAAAAAACGCATATTTAACATAAGGAAGAGATAGTTGAAATTTTTTAGGCACATAATGAGGAAAGAGGGTTTGGAAAATTTCCTACTCACAAGACATATTGAAGTTAAGAGGGACAGAGGAAAACAATGTATAGTCTATCTGCGAGCTTGAGTAAATGGGTGGTGGGGCAAGGATTAGGAGATATATGAAAATACTACATTTATTAAGAGCTTCAAAGAACAGAAAATTGTGGAGAGCCGTGAACGCCAATGTTTTGAAGGGACACAACACCCAGAAGAAGAATTCCAAAGAACATGCGAAAGTGCTTATCCTGAATTAATACATATCATTGTGAAGAATCATTAACGATTCATCGGAGACATTTATACTACTGTAAAAAATGATGCATAATGTTGTTTTTATATTGTTCTTGAAATACAATTTAGTTTCAATATCTGTCTCTGACTATATCTCTGAGATGAGGTATTATGATTACTTAGATTATTAAATGAGGCGCAGTGGAGTAATGGACAGCGGTTCGGATTGAGGAATCGGAGAGCTGAGTTTGAATTCCAGTCGAATCGATTGCATTCACTTACGTACTAATATGTGCCTGGGAAAGGTATGAATAATATTCTCCCCCCCCCTCCCAGCTATGAATCCTCTTCTTCTCCCTCCCCAGCTATGGATAAATAGCAAGATAGAACGGGTTCTATAGCCTACTACAGAAAGAAATGGCAACCTTCTGCGGGAAGAAAATCTGCCTCGTCTGTCATGTATCGAAAGATACATGGTCGCCTAAGCGTGTGTCACGCATGGCACATGACTGATTGACATTATTTAAATTATTCGGTCCGCAGCTTCATTGCCATATTCATAACGTTTCGTCCCTTGTACTCACCGGTCTTCTTCAGGTGACTGGAATTTCGAACCGAACCCTTTATTTCGTCCACCGGAGTAGATTGTTCTAGTTCCACGTGCCATACCTCTTCCGACTGTCACAGTTATTTCCCTTTAACTCAACTTTCCAAGTTTTTGTTCGCCGCTGCTGTAGCCTGGTATTGAACTCACAACACTTTGGGTCTAGTCCCTGGATCTAATCCACTGGGCTATATATCCTTCAGGATTTACTTTCACTCAAAACGTCTAATTGCACTGTTATTTTGCACTGCCCCTGTGGAATCAATGAATAATAATCTGTTGCCTTTGAATTCCTATCACAGCAAAAATGATTTGTGTGTCCGTGGATACCAAATTTGTGAAACTGTCCACAGTGACCATGATACCCTGGTTTGTGCAACACAGCTTCCCGATTCGCATTTTCATTTTAGGGAACTGGCAACCCTAAGTTTTTCTGATATGTGCTAAGATACTAAATTGCCGCCTTTATATTACATTGGTTTTACTTATAATTATAATATGCCATGTCCCCACAGATCGTAGGCGATCATGGCTCTCCACAATTCCCTGTCATTTTTAGCTCTTAATAAATTTTGTCTTTTCGTTATTTCTCCTGTTCCGCCATCCCTTAAACTCATCAAGTATATCATGCGATGTTTCCCTTTGTTCCTCTTCCTCTCAATCTGTCCTGTGAGTATCAAATTTTCCAAGCCCTCTTTCCTCATATCTTTGCCCCAGGTATTTCAGCTGCCACTTCCTGATGTTAAGTATGTTTCTTCTTTGTCTACATTCTCTCGTCGTTGCTCACATGTTCGGTCCATGGTATCCTCAGTATCTTTCTGTAGGACCACATTTCTGTTGTCTGAAGTCTCTTCCTTATATTTCAGGACATTGACCAGCATTCACTGCTATATAGGAGGACCGATATCACATAACAGTTCAGTACTGAACTTTTTTTTTTTCTAACGAAGTTTTTCTGTCTCTTAATCAGTCAATTATGTGCCATGCGTGATACACGCTTAGGCGATCATGTATCTTTCGATACATCACTGACGAGGCAGATTTTTTTGTCCGCAGTAGATTGCCATTTCTCTCTGCGGTAGACCAGTTGCCATCCAAGGCGAAAGAACCCGGTCTGTCTTACTATTTACCCATAGCTGGGGGAGGAGAAGAGGATTCATACCTTTCCCAAGGATATTAGCACGTAAGTGAATGTAATAGATTCGAATGGAACTCGGCTCTCCGATTCCTCAATCCGAGCCGCAATCCATTACTCCACCGTGCCTCCTCCTATCTATTAATACTCTGCTTAACTTTTCGAATGTGTTATATAGGAATAAAGTGTCGTTGCCGATACTTGAGTTTGAACATAGATCGCCAGTGAGCAAACACAGACGATCCCATTATTGAATTAAGTAGACCACGTGACCATAAAAGAAACGCATATATGTAGGAAGTAGCTGACAACTAATGATCGTTATTTCTAGCCTATCCTCTATTACTCTACGGACTGCCATTTTTTACTCTATTCACTATACTATTTCTCTATTCAGATCCCTATACGGATTACTATTCGAGCGAGTATTATCGAGCAAGTACTATTAGCGCGAGTGGTATTCGAAGGTGTCTGACACCAGTATTGTTCAACGGCGTTACTATAGTTGTATCTGCGATTACAAAGTCTCTCCTACAACGAGCATTACGAAAGTGACAATGAGTATTCCTTGGCATTACAAAAGTGGCAACAAGTGTTCGTAGACATCACAAAAGAATGATTCTTTGACTATCCCAATGTGTCTTTATATTTCGGTGTCGCACTTTCCATGCTCTGTTAAAACACTTCCCAGATACTAAAAGTTTTGTACTTTGATTTTGGTATCTCCGATTTGTACGGAACGAGTCTGAATAACGTAAGATGGCAGTGTTGATAGCAGACACAGAAATGGAAAAATGAAGGAACTAGTAGACCAGGTCGAAAAGAAAAGCGAGAAAAAAGGACTAAGCAGCAATTGTAAGAAGGCAGAATGGATAGTTGTCAGCAGGAAAGACAGATCAACATGCGAACCTACAAATTGAAGATAACAACATTAAACATGTATGGAAGCTTAAATACCTAGGAAGTGTTAAAACAGACAACAGAAAACGTGACACCGAAATCCGAAGATGCATTGAAAATACGAAAACATGCCATCCGAAAAAAAAGCAAAGTATTAAGAAAGAGGAATATTTCATTAGAAACAAGGAAAAGTGGTGACCCCTTAAGTAATATCCTCTTATATGACAGAGAATATAGAATAATCTTTTCACAGATAAAGAAGAGACTTGAGAAAACAGATGTGTCTTTCTACAGAAGGATACTGAGAATACCATACTGAATATGTTGGAAACGAAGTGGTTCTAAAGGAAAGTGAAACAAAAATGACTTTGAATCAGAAAAGGGCAATTGACATTTCTAGGACACATAATAGGTTTAGTTGGAGCACCTCGACGCTGTATAATCGTTAGCAAGCTTGTCTCGCTAGATCAATTACGACTGAATAGTGATTTCGATTCTCACACGGTGCTCCATAATTTGGGCCTTGTGCCACATCTAAACTATGGTTAGAAAATCACCATAATAGGTTTGACTGATTGGTTTTCTACAGGTTATCAACCCTTTGGAAGTTACTTCTGAAGAAAATTTAGTTATACATGTCCCATTAATCAACCCATAGGTAGGGTGAGAAGAGGTGGATTCATACCTTTCCCAAGGAAAGAGAATATTACACCTAATATATCGCGTACGTGAATATAACGAACCCGACGGGATTTGGAACTTGGCTCTCCGATTAACACTTCAGAGCCGTTATCCATTGAATTACGCGCACATTCAAGCACAGCACCAGATATTCCCAAGCGGTCACCCATCTCGATACTGACCAGGCTCAACGTTGCTTAACTTCTGTGATCGTACGGGAACCCGTGTTTCTTACAATCTAAAAATATTTGCTGGTTTTAAATCATCTGCAAAGGGTTGATAAGCCATACAAAACAAATTAATCAATCCATAGAACTAAGTCAAAAGCAGACGTGAGTGAAACTGTATAAAATGGGTGACATGCAATCCTGTGAATTTACTTTTGATACTGCTTGGGGTTGTATTATTTTACACTGTAGAAATGATGTATTTCAAAAAAACATTTAACTCCTTTTCAAAACCTTTTGGGTATATGTACACCTGGAAATGGTTAGATGGACACATAATCTGAAAAGATTAGGTCAAGAGAACAACCTGTAAAGTATAGAAAAGGAATGAATGAATCAATCAAAAAGCTATAATTAGACAATATGAGAGCCTGTGCGTATTTCGTTGGTATTACACTTGCTCGTACTTGACTTTTTATTGTACTGGAATTATTAAAATATTAGTCATTGTCAAAAGCTCAGATACGGAGGGTGCATTGATATAAATATTCCTACGTGACAAGGTGACCGAAGACTGAATATCTGAATATCTACTCCACGTAATCATTCACAGTCCGCAGACATGTTTAAAACGCTCTCATTACTTAGGGTGTTGCAATTTTATTTTCTATCAGAATACATATCTTTTCAATTACAACATTTTTATACATGCAAATTTTAATTATAAATTAATTTCCATATTTTCGTATTTCTAATTTTCCTACTTTTTAAGTGTGTAGAGTTTCCTAAAATTTCGAATAAACATTTCCGTCATGGTTTCGTCTAAGAAGTCAGAACACCTGTCTGTAATATTAGATATGTCTTCGGTGCAAATAGCAAAGAAAAGTATATATATATATATATATATATATATATATATATATACTTTATTTGCAAATAACAAATAAGATATATATATATATATATATAAATATATATATATATATATATATATATATATATATATATATATATATATGTACAAATTTTATTTATTATTTGGTAACAGACATATCATATATATATATATATATATATATATATATATAAATACATTTTTTGTGGAATTTCGTTTGACTAACAGTATAAGGTAGACTAAAAGATTTATTTGATAGTAAGAACAGCGAATTGTTTTTTAGAAACGTTACTATAAGTGGTAAGTTAGTCTAACTTTTGGGGAATCATAAATGTTAATATAGGATAGATTGGGTTGGGTACACGTGAAGGTTTAGTTAAAGAGTTAGTAGTGTAAAGGGGTTAGTAATTAAAACGTATAAAACATTAAAAATATGCAGGAAAGAGACCAGCTTACCGAGTTAGGAATCCCGGGGAAGTAGCTCGATTCTAAACCAAATGAAGTAAAAACACAACAGTATATAGGAGGGGACTTTTTTTTTTTTTTTACATTGGCTGACGTTGACTGACGAATGTCAATAAGAGCGGTCGGACTACTCGAGTTGCGTAGTACGACGCTTTCAAAGAGGCGGTCTGACTCGTCCGGAGTCAGGTAGGGTTTGCTGTTTGAGCCAATATGATGCAAAACACGAAACCTGCGATGAGGACGGTGCATCACTGAAGACCACCCTTGATCTATCTATCTATCTATCTATCTATCTATCTATCTATCTATCTATCTATCTATCTATCTATATTATAATTATTTTCTTTTTAAAAATATGATTCCATCGCGACATAGAAGATTTCCATGTTTCAAAACTGAAACTAAATTTATAAATTTAAATATAAAAATTAAAATTAAAATCCATAGTCTTGTTCCATTGTCAAGCGATGCTAGGAATAACTTTCTCAGAAATTTACTTCATTTATAAGTGCAGACAATATTAATATTATGAGTTGTTAAGGTTAAGGAAAATTCAGTCCATTTCAATTTAGGGGTGGTTGGGTTTTAATTTAAGCATCCTATATATGTTACAAAATCAGGTTAAGTTTAGGTGGGATGTGGGTGCCTGCTAACAAATGCAAACTTCCGTTATTCAGCGAGTCGTCTGGGTTTTCAATGACAAAAAATTGGCTTTTTATTCATCGGCCTAATTCATTTTTTTTTATACACAAAGATTTTCTAAAAGGACCATTTAAATAAGTGTATATCATATTTTAAATATTTAAATTTTATCCTTACAGATTTAAAGTGCCATTCGTCCTAATAACCAATATATATATATATATATATATATATATATAGGTAACTATACTCGTCTCGAAAAACCTTCGAATTTTCGATTTGCCAATAATCAAATCAATCTCGAAGGAAAAAAAGGTTTTAAAAAAAGAAAGAGCCAGGAACATGAAAGTCTGTCGAAAAAAATCGCACAGATACAGGTTCAAAGCCCAAAGAAAAAACCCCGACACGAGTAAACAACTAACTAAAAGAGCTCAATACAACCGTAGAGCAGACCTAGTCAAGTCTAGTGAGCCAGACAAACCTTTCACCTAAGCAGATTGTCAGGGAAAGCTGATGATCCGCTTAGGTGAAACCTGGGTAGGTTTGTCTGGCTCACTAGGTCTGACTATATATATATATATGTTCCGAGATCACGCTGTTGTATAATATGTTGAGTTGTATTCAGGTCGTTAGCGGGACTGAAGTGTTACATATATTTTCTGTAAAGAAAATGTAAAAAGAAAATATGAATAAAGACAAAAAGAAAACTTATCTTAGGCGGCATATTTCGTCATTTGATGGACTCTATCAAGTCAAATGTAAGGATTTTATTTTGCAACGAGTATTTAGACATAGAAGTAAAAATGCCGCTAGTTTTTAGAAGTTTTAAATTTAAGAACGCACTTAATTATGTATCAGGATAACTGAAAGTCAAGGTAAATAATTCATTTATGTGTTAGTTATTTAAATAATTGAAAGATTTTGACTTTCATCGTTTTCTTTTAATCTTTAAACATTTTTATAATCATGTATGTCGGCTTGGGAAAAAAGTGTTTCTTTTAGGAAAGTAGATATTTACGGGCTGATTTATATTTTCGTAAAATTCGATTGTGGATTTTCCGTCTAAGTAAGTTACTTTGACTTTTAATATATAGAGAAATATAAAGAGAAATAATTGGCTTTTAATATATAAAGAAATTTCAAATTTTATTATTAATAGTTTGCTACCTGATTCTTCGCTGACGGCAAAATGATGAAGTTTCAGATTTCTTTGAAAATACTACCATTTATTAGAGTATATTGAAATACAGAAGTCATAAAAATCAATTCAAAGGACTAATACTATATTCCTGTTAAAGAGGGTTGTTCCCAGACAAAAAGGTTACTTAAGCATCGCGACAAAGACGGCCATTTTAGTTTCATTCAAATATGTGCCTATGAACGTTTGACGATGCACATTTATGTTTTAATTCATTGATTGACAACACGAAAATATTTCCACAAAATTGTTGAAACTTGACTAATGCATGGAATAATAATGCAACACAAAATGTACTTAGAACAAAATGTATTGAAACAAGAAAGTGTACACAATATTTACATATAGTCTTTTGTATATTCCTGGTAAGACCGTTCCTGGAGAATGTGTTGACTGACTCACAGTCGGGCAGAGTCTCTGGTTGAATATCTTGATTCCTCCCTCTCTTCCCGGTACCAACCATATTTATATGGTCGGTACTCCACTATGCAAATTAGGTGGATCCTACCACAACAAAAATTAAAACAAACAGTTTTAAAAAGATTTCTATTTGTTTTAGAAGTTTTGAAAAAAAATTAGTAAAATTTAATGATCTGATTTTTTACTGTTGAAAAACCTATATAAGTTTTCTTGCCTCCAAATTTTTATTGCTTATCCCATTGTAGGTGTTGCGAAGATTGAGTGCGCGGGGTGTATGATTATAATGTCTTATTTCAAACTCACTCACTTTATGTGTGTATGTGTGTATCTCTTATCTGAATTGTAAAGTCAACTATCCGAAAAGCAAAACCTTCTATCTCAAAGTAAGAACCACTATACGAAAGTATGATTTAACATCCGAAAAGTAAGATCCCTTAAGTGAACTGTAAAATCCAGTATCCGAAAAGTAAGATTCTATATGGGAAAGTCAGAACCACTATACGAAAATATGATTCACAATCCGAAAAGTAAGATCCCTTAAGTGAACTGCAAAATCCAGTATCCGAAAAGTAAGAACTTCAATCTGAAAGTCAGAACCACTATACGAAAATATGATTCACAATCCGAAAAGTAAGATCCCTTAAGTGAACTGTAAAATCCAGTATCCGAAAAGTAAGAACTTCAATCTGAAAGTCAGAACCACGATACGAAAATATGATTCACAATCCGAAAAGTAAGATCCCTTAAGTGAACTGTAAAATCCAGTATACGAAAAGTAATATCTCCAATCTGAAAGTTAGAACCACGATACGAAAATATGATTCACAATCCGAAAAATAAGATCCTTTAAATGAACTGTAAAATCCAGTATCCGAAAAGGAGGATTCCCTATATGAAAGCAAGGCCCGCGATTAAAAAGTAATACCAGCTATCCGGAAAGTAAGATCCATTATCGGAAAAGTTAAATGCACTGTTCGAAATGAATGATCTACATTTCTACAACCATTCTTTTATAATTATTTCAAGTGACAAAGACGAGCATTACACGGGACAATAGCGTAGAGGATGAAAGCTTTGGTTCGTGAATTTAGTGGTGGTGTACATGTGGGTTCAATTACTGGACCGAGATGAACGCCTTAAATTTAATCGCAACTGTACGAGTAATAATTCAGCCGGTCTAAAAAGGAACATGATGGAAATGGACTGTGTGAAGAAAACAACGTTTAACAGCAGTAGAATAAATAAAGTGTTATTTCGAAATTCACTGAAGTTTATCTGGAATTTTAACGAGGACAATCAACTTGATTGAAGTTTACCTGGATCAACTTGAACAAGGGGGCGAGGACAATCAACGTTTGTGGATGAAAAAATTAATTTGGAAATTCACTGAAGTTTACCTGGATCAACTTGAACAAAGGAGCGAGGAAAATCAACCTTTGTCGAT